AAAATATGCACTCTAGAGTCAATTCTTTAACAAAAAAAAGCTTAAAAGATTTGACATCAACATAAAATCTCCACTAAAGCATATAAAATTCAAGTAAAAGAAATATAGTGCAAGATGTTAACAATCTAACAAATGAACTAAATCATGCAAAATTCATGTCACTCGCTGGAAAAACTATAATAAACATTTATTTATTATTTTTTATCTAAGATATTTCTGAATATATAAAATTTAACAAATATCAAGACAACATCCAACTGTTTGTATTGTAACATCAATTTAACTAATTTCTTTATGGTGAAAACTCTTGTAAACAACAAGACTGTTTTGTCTTATTGTACAAATTAAAATCCAAGTAAGTGGCACTAGTGAAAAAGGGGCTTAGTGATCTTTTTGTTTTTTTTTAACAGTGGGGTACAAAGACATTTGTCTCCACTTATAACTCAGGTGTTTGTGATTGGTCAGCTGGTATATCCTGTACAACATTGATTTTAAAAGTCCAGTGTCTTGCTTTATTTGAAGAATGTTACTGGAAGTTTTTTTGCCTGATCTGATGTTTACTTTGTTTTTGTTTTCTCAGTGAAGTTGTTGAGTACTCCTTACCGAAGCTGTTGGACAAACTTCAGATTAGTTATGAGGAGGTAAGACTGAAACATGATGACACTCAATGGAAATGATCTTCACAATAAACACTTACTGTCTTTTATGTTTGTTGTAATGTTTTAGCTTGTTGATCTCTGTATTCTGCTGGGCTGTGACTACTGTGACAAGATACCTGGTCTGGGTCCTAAGAAAGCTCTGGGCCTGATCCAGAAGCACCATAGTATTGAGACTGTGGTATTGAACATCAATAGACAGGTATTAGATGAACACCTCCCAACTTCTCCACGGCTTTTATATAAAAAAATGATCAAATGCATCCAACATATTTGCCTTCCCTCAGACTTACCCTGTGCCACAGTTCTGGAAATACAAAGAGGCAAGGAAGATTTTCTTGGAGGCACCACAAACCAGAGTTCCTGAGCTCATCTGGACTGAACCAGATGAAGAAGCTTTGGTCGGGTTCCTCTGTCCCACCAAGCACATTAGGTTTGTCCTTTCCTCAAACCCGCTTCCTTTTTTCACACAATGCTGTAAATTTATGGAAACTAAAACAAATATAAATCTCATGCGTGCTCGTATATTTCAGYGAGGAGAGGGTTCGTCGTCGGATGAAGACGTTTCGTGACAGTCGAGAAAATCGGCGAGAGGAGAGGGAAAAGGAGAGGGCAGCAGGAAGTCAGAGGCAGACTCGAATGGAGAACTTCTTCAAAGTTACCAGAAAGAGAAAAGAGGTGAGTCATGGTAAAACATACAAACAAAAATTACAAAACTTAAATGGAATGTAGAACACCACGGTTTCTACACAGTCTTTAAAAGTGTGGTGTTTGTTTTTAGTGTTTTCCAGGTTTGGATAAGTGTGGCAAAATAATGAAATATGGATTTCAGATTTTTTCCATTTCTCATTTTATTGACAAAWGAGAACAGATTTAACTGTAGAGTCAATTTTGTTTCTTTGTAAGAAAAATATCTCATGAACCAGTAGGTGGATATTATGGAAACTTTTAGAAGGTACTGGATGCACACCTACAGCTGATTACCTTTTTAGTCCACCAGGATTAAGATGGCCGTCACAGCAAATGAAAACCAGTGTGGTTTTATACAGAGCTAACATTTAATATTAGAGTAGCTGCGACTGATCCCCAACTTACATTTTGAGAATAACATTGTGCAGCATTTTTGCCTGAAACCTTGGCTTTACCTGTTMGAACCACTGAACTCTCAGAAAGTAATTGTTGTCTATACGTCTGTATGGCAGCCCTTCAAGTCCTACTGGACCTGACCCACATTTACAGTCCTGCTCACCATTATTGGCACCCCTTCATGTTTTGCATAACTGAGTAAATATCTTCAGAAATAAATCGAAATGTTCAAAATTTATATCAGCAGAATCTTTTAATTGGAGGTCCAAAGTAATTTAACAAAGAAAATTGTTATTTCAACATAGATATTTTAATTCTAAAGGAAAAAAACAGAAAACCCTGTGATGGACTTGCGACCTGTCCAGGGTGTACCCTGCCCCTCGCACTGTGACTGCTGGATATGGGCACCAGTGACCCACGCAACCCTGAAAAGGAAGAAGCGTGTACAGAAAATGGATGGATGGATGGATGGATGGATGGATGGATGGATGGATGGATGGATGGAAAAACAAAAAACCAGCATGTGCACTAATATTGACACCCCTCCTTAATATTTAATTGCACACTCTTTGGGAGTGATGACAGCCTCCAAACGTTTCTCATATCCATCTATAAGCTTCTTGCACTTCTCGGGTGGTATTTTCTCCCACGCTTCCTTTGCAATATGCTCAAATTCTTGAACATTTGCAGGGTTCCTTTCTCCAATGGCAGATTTCAGCTCCGTCCAAAGATTTTCAATTGAATTGAGATCAGGACTCATTGAAGGCCATTTTAAAACAGTCCATTTTTTCCCTTTAAATGATTTCTGCTTGCTTTTTGAGGTGTGTTTTGGGTCTTTATCTTGTTGGAGGACTCATGACCTTCGCCTCAAACCAAGTTCCCTTACACTGGGCAAGACTTTCCGCTCTAAAATTGCTTGATAATCTTCTGATTTCATGATGCCTGTGATACGGTCAAGTCCTCTAGTACCAGATGCAGCAAAGCAGCCCAACAGCATTATGGACCCTCCCCCATGCTTGACTGTTGGTATGGTGTACTTTTCCTTAAAGGCTTCATTGCACCGTCTGTAAACATATTGTTTGTGTGCATTACCAAAAAGCTCCATGTTTGTTTCATCGGTCCACAAAACATTGTCTCAGAAGGCTTGAGGTTTGTCCAGGTTCTCTTTGGTGAAGATCAATCGTTCTTTTTTGTTTTTTCTTCAGCAATGGAATATTCTTTGGCCTCCGCCCATAAAGCCCAGCTTTGTTTAGTGTGCGGCATATGGTATTGTTGAAACAATTACACCAGACTGCTCCAGGTTGGTCCTCAGGTCTTAAGATGTTTGACGTGGTGTTTTTTCCACCATTCGCACCAACCTTCGAAGACTTCTGTCATCAATTTTTCTCTTCCCCTCACGTCCTGGGAGGTTCTTGACAGTTCCATGCCTGGAAAACTTCTTAATAACATTACGCACCATTGAAACAGGGATACCAAGATCTTTGGAGATGGTCTTATACCCTTTGGAGGTCTTGTGCTWGCAAACAATAGAATTTCTGGTGTCCTCAGACAGCTCCATTGGTTTTACCATTGTCACACATGAAAAGGGAATAACAGGGGGCTTTCTAAAACACCAGCATGATCATTCATTGGATAATTCATGTCACATTGGTGGAGGTAGTTCATCACAGGTGATCCTTATTTGGGATTTGCAACTGGTGAGCCGAATTGGGTTTGCAGCAAATGGTGCCAATAACATTGACATGGTAAACATTATGTTTTTCTATATTTCCCTCAAAATGTTTATTTTTTTAAATGTTCATCATTTGATGTTTTGTATCAAACACAAGTTTTCTGTAGTAAAATGTTGTTTAACTTGATAAATTTTCATCAGTAAATATTCTATAATATGTACTTAAACTTCATGGGTGCCAATAATGGTGAGCAGGACTGGATTTATGTAATTTCCCTTTGGGATCAATAAAGTGTTTTTGATTTGTACATCTTAGTGGAGGCCACGTCCTGGTAAGGTTATACCAGTCTGGTAGGTGGAAAAACCTATGTGACTCACAGCACACTAGAATCTGGGACTGGGCAGTTGCTGATGTTTCAGTAACTGCAGGATCTGGAGACAGAATAGTCAAAAAATACAAAATTGAGCCAACAGATTTAAGAAATGTCTGCCTGGAGTAACCTTTTTATGATGGACATGTCTCCCAATCATTTRTACTGTTTTACAGATGGATCCCACTGATGGGGTCAGCAGGTGCAGGGGTGCTGATTTTGCACAACCATAGTGTGAGAGTACAGATACTCAATAGGTGGTTTTGCATATCTCACTGTATCTCAAGCTGAGATAAATGCAACCCACCAGTGTGTGGCATCTCTCAAAGACTTTCAGTGTARGCAGAAGGAAATAAGTAGTACACTGTCCTAACTGGGCACAACATGCTCAACCGCCGGTGATGGGACTCCAGGGTAATGGTCTGTGAGAGAAAAAAAATATTTCTCAGAATTTTTAAATTTAAGTCAAATGATAAGATAGAATTCTGAGAAAAAATTCTGAACTCAGTAATTCATATATTTGTTTGCTCTGTGGTCCTAATCCTGGTCTGTAGAAATGTGATTTTGAGGATAAAAATTGCAATTTTAAAATTCTATGTYGAAATCCTGCTGATGGGTCTCTTCAATGCTTGCCTTGTGAATTCATTTCTTTTTGTGTTTCTTTGTTTCTAGGCTTTGGAAGTTGCATCTTCAGCAGGTGACACGACAAAGAAACCAAGATGAAAACAGGACAGTTATTGTTGTCGTCATCTCCAAATGATTGTTATGTTTTTAAATGTTTTCTCTGCCAAGATTTTGCTAACCTAATAATGCATCTGTTGACATTTGTGAAATTAGTGATTTGACTCTGAGTGTTCATGACAGTGCAGTCACCGAAGCAGTTCCTCGTGCATCATGCAGTTTCCTGCAGAGCCTCTGACACGAGCGTCAGGAGATGTACGGCAATGAAAGAGAACAGTGTAGTCACTGTTGAGGAGGCCTTTCCTAAAGCCAAAACTAAACACAAGTGATGTCTTTTCACCAGATATTCAATTAGACACCTGTTATATAAGAGGAGCCAAGAAAGAAACCAAGGACTTGAATTTTAAAACATTTATTTAAGCTGTAAAATGTATTCAGAAGGACCGTAAGATGACTTCGTCTACACTTTGAAAACATTGGTTTGCAAAACTGYCAAAGTAATATTTCCATTTTTATGTTGTTAATTTTGTATCATGTATTTATTTAACTTTTGAATCACAACAATCATTTGTATTTGGTTGTTATGCTTTTGTGACCTGTTGAAATTTGAAGAGATAACATGTTTTGGAAAATTATKAATACATATTTTCAATAAAATGTGTCACGCACAGAATGTTTGTGCATTGTTTATCATTTGTAAGAGACACTTAAGGGCTTATCACTTTAAATTTAAGATGATCTTTAGTGTACATCGTGTCATTGCTGATATTTTATATGAAATGTGCCATATAGATAACAGCAAAACCAAGTTAGTTGATTTATTATTTTTGATTTATTGTTATTCTGCTATTTTGAGTTTTTAATCAGTTTTTTTTTTCAAGTCAAACAACTTTAGGAGCAAACATTTGAAGGAAAAATGTTTATGAATAATTTGTCATAGTCACTTCTCTTGAATTACATTTAAAATTTGTAACTATCACTCTATTTCAGTGATTACCAAAGTTGGGGTTGGAACCCCTCTATGGGTCATAAAACATCAATTGGGGGTCCCCAGATGATTTTCAAATATCAGTGTAAATGCAAATAAATAGCTGATAGAATATTTTCACCATAATTAATAAATAACAAAAATYATAATCATAAATAAGTAAAAGTAGTTTCATAGTTATTACAGTAGTTTTGTTTTTATTATGCCTAGTAAATAGCAAAGTATGCAAAAGGAGCATATAAGTAAATGCAAACTGGGGTCATAAGTATTTGCAACAGTTTTTGTTAAAAAGTTTGAAAACCACTAAATTTTTTTTATGCCTTCTATGCAGAGGTGTACTAATTTTTTTGAGGAACTGTATTTACAGTTTTTATTTTAAATCAAACCTTTTACATTTATTTCATTACACTCAAAACATAAAAGTTGTACTTACATAACTATACTTCACTCATCCGTGAAATTKGTTTTTACTAAAGTCATTTGTTATTTTGACTATTAGCTATTTTTTTCAAGTACTTTAGTCACCTCCTCTACAACGTTAGTGTTTGCGCATGCGCAGACTCATTGCTCTTCCACACCAACAGATGGCGCAGGCGCAGTAAAAGCGCACGCGCTTCCCAGCGTTTTCTTTGAAGAGGAAGAAGTTTGTCAATCGCTCAATCTTTCCTGTGAACATTAGGAGGTGTCTCCTCGCTCCCACGGCCGTCAGATTTGGCAAGTCCGCCCTGAAGACACCACCTCTGTCCCGGGTCCCTCCAGCCGAAACTTTTCCTGCTGGGTTTTCCACCATGGCGACGAGTGCGAAGCGAAAGCAGGAGGAGACTCACCTAAAGATGCTCCGGGAAATGACTAGCCTGCCCGCGAATAGGAAATGCTTTGACTGTGACCAACGCGGCCCGACCTATGTCAACATGACAGTGGGTTCCTTCGTCTGCACCACCTGTTCCGGGATCCTGTGAGTGTRCTTTTGACTTTACGCTCATTGTTGTCCGTCCCCCCTCCCAGGTGAGGACGAGGCGCCTCCGCCGTCAGGATGTAGGTACCGTTAGCTCGTTAGCTGCTGGGGAAAGTCAGGACAGGTAACGTTGAGGTTCAGCCCGAGGCCGTTGGGTTGGGCTCGGTGCTTCAGTTTGTTTACATCTGCTCTTCATAACAACATGTTCTGGTCGATGAAGGCTCGGTGTGTGACTCGAGCGTCAGGGCTAGCACGACTTTATAATCGGGTTTTTTGTGGTTCTTGTGTGAAAAGTGCGTGTCACGGTGGCGCATCTTATTGTTTTTGTTGGATCGGTTTAAAAAACTAAGACATCCCTCGAGATTTATTTGTGTCACCAGTTCTCATTATGAAATCACTGCCTGCAAACTTCTAGATAAGGCAAATATCTGTATGGTCACGTGTTCTACTCGGSTTTTTAGTTTTGCAAGACCAGAACTAGTCAGTGTTGAGTTGTACAGTCAGGCTGCATTGGACTCTATAGCATGGGTGTCCAGTTCTGGTCCTGGAGGACCACTATCCTGCATGTTTGACCAGTTTCTCTGCCCCACACCTGATTGAGTGACTGAATTATCTCTTCAAGTTCAGCAGAAAATTGTTGATTCTCTCCTCTGGGTCAGCTGGAGGAGGTATCTGAGGCTTTTGTTCCTGAGTGATGATAGGATGGAGATGAATCAACACACTGGGGCCTCAGTAATGAGAGTGTTGCTTCGGTCGGTCATAGTAAATAAACTGTTGAGTCGAAAGGCAAAGCTCTGGGTTTACTGGTCCCGTCTACGTTCCAACCCTCACCTGTGGTCATGAGGTTTGGATCATGACCAAAAGAACCAAATCCTGGATCTAAGCAGCTGAAATGATTTTCCTTCATAGGGTGACCGGGCTCAGTCTTAGAGATAGCGTAAAGCTGCTGCTCCTTTTCATCAAAATAAGTCAGWTGAGGTGGTTCATGTGATTAGGATGCCTCCCTTTCACCTCCTCCCTGACCCATTGGAAGGAGGCTCTGAGGCAGAACCACCACCCAGGCTAGAACCCTATGGAGGCATTATATCTCCACTCTGGTCTGGGAACACCTCAGGARGGGGTACCCCAGTAGGAACTGGGTAGAGGGCTGTCTGGGTTTCTCTTTTGGACCTGTTGCCTCTGTGACATGAGCGGTAGAAGAAGCTCYTTAATCATCCATTAATTCAAAGTAGGTGTGTTGGAGCAGAGGAACCTCTAAATCTGTGGTTTCCAACCTGTTTTCCTCAAAGCCCCCCTTTCTTACCTTTAAGCCAAGCAGAGCCTCCCCACTCCCACTGGAACACTCATGCAGGAAAATACATGTTCTCAATAGMTTACAACACAAAAATTAAAATACACACTTACACAAATAGTATTGCAATAACAAACATRTTACCACTTTGGGCAATGTAAATTAACTGCAAATGTTGAAGTTTTTTAAAGTTACCTTTGATTTCGGCAACGTTACTTCGYGTTTCACACAAAGTCCTCCAGAACAAAAGTAAACAACCTATAGAGCTCCCTAGTGGACTGGAGGGAGTCAATCCAACACCCCACCTTTACCACAGACACATTAAACCTTTATCTCTTATCAAAGTAAAATTATCAGGTGAATTGTTACAAACTTCTATATGGAAAATGGATGAACAGATTTCTACAAAGTTTTATTATTCAAATGGACTTGTTTTGGTGATTTTTATTTATAAACAATAAATGGATACTTTCACAACCTCTAACGTGGAGAGTAGGGGTGTAAGAAAATATTGATACACTGAAATCTCGCGATATTTCATTTCCCGATACTGT